TCAAGACTGGTTTGTAAATAATGGAGCATAATTGGACTGTGAATCTCAGTCTCATTTAGTTTTAAGCCCAGATGAGGGCCCATTCCCTTTTGTTCTGCATATAGTGAGCTTTGTCTTAGACGTGCTCTGAACTACTACCTAGTTGATTAGATTGTCTAAACATGGACAATTCCCATTTAAGTGATTTAGGGATCTAGAGGGACATTTAGATCACCAAAACCTCCTGTAGGGTGTTGTATAACATTAGCCATGGAAATACTTGGACCCTTTGCTAAATATTAAAGCTGTGTTCATATTTAAACAATTCAATGCTCTTTAAGACTGTGCACAGAATTATTAAAATCTACTCATCTACTTAATTCCCTCAGGCCTGAGTTATTCCTTTATATGGAGCTACTACACACTGGAAACAGCTGCTGTCAGCAAAAACACCCTATCTGAAAACCTACAAAGCTTCACAAGTCTTAACAGCTTAACAGACCACTACAGAACAGAGGTGTGAAGTTTACTGAAGTCCAATTGATTAAAGTCACATGCCAGTCTTAGCTGGAAAGCAAAGAAAAGAGGCATTTATAAATATTTGGAAAAGTCTTTCAAACAGAGTTGGCAAGTACAGCTTCCTTGAAGATTTCTCTGTCTTTGTTGTGTTGGGATAGATCTGTAAGTAATTTAAGATAGTACAGATCCATCATTTTCAAAAGTACATCTGGGCTTGCAGGAGCCGAGACTCTCACCCTGTGAATTTTAGAGCACAGCAGGGGCTTATTTTGTATCCCTAAAATACCCTGCTGTGAAGTTAAAATTATTGCCTAAAAACCATGTGTATTTTCTTTAAAAAGAGTGATATCAACCATTTGGCTCATGACTACAGATTTATCAGAAATAAATTTAGCTAGGGAAGATATTTTGATGTAAGTAGAGCAATTGTCCTTTCTGGAAATTTGAAATAGCACAAGTGCAAATTAAATAAATAGCAACTAGAGACTATGATACAGCATAGTGCACTTTTTTCAAAACTCCCGGGTAACAAGAGAAATCCTCTGTCGAGATGCAAGATTTTCTTTAATTTCAATCACAGTTGAATCAGAAGTTGCCTTTATATATTTGCATTAAGGGTTGCCATGGGCACCATTTCATTTGTGGACAAAATGGTGCAGACCTTCAGAGAAGAGCCTTTCACAGTCTCACCTGGCTCTTACCAAGCTCAAGGTATCGAGCTGGGGGTAAATGTGACAGCTGCAGCACGAAGAAGAACAACCAAATGAGATTTTACTTTATAATTATTAGAATAATATTACTTTGCAGACATGGAGATTTTAGATAAGAGAATACAGAGTGTGGAAACCTTAACAGGTATTCTACAGTAATTGCTGACTGATAAACTGCAAATGTAAGGAAAAAGCTCTTTCCTTATAAAATACTTCCTTTAATAGACAACTTGCTTGAAAACTTCCAAAGATATTGTGCGAGAAAGGCCCTAGATGCAATTTTCTTCCTCTTCTTTATTTTTTTTTTTTGTGGCATTGTTTTTTAAAAGACTTCAAAACTTTATCTATGCAATACCAGATATTCAAACAGTGAATTAATAAAATATTTAATCATTATCTGTAATTACTTTCATATCTTTGAAACTGAAGATGGGTGAAGGTTTGTATTTCATACAAATAATTTGGAATAAAGAAATAGGTTAGAAGTTAACAGAAAATACCATTCTGATATTTAGGAATCCTATTGTTTTTGAATTTTAGCTCCTTACTATAAAAACTTGGATAGGAGGCAAAATTATGAAATGAAAATAGTTTGTTACAGTAGCCTTTCATTATGAAGGTTGAAATAGAAATAAGAATGATTGCAAACACCCACTTTGAGCTTGCACAAAAAGAAAGAGGTGGTGTCTGCTCTGAATTTAAAGGCTTTAGGAGATGATCTCAGGTGTTTCTGCCAATGCAAGCATGATTCAGATGGTTGTATTTCCTTTGCAAAAGCTCCTGGGTTTGCATCTCTTTTGTAAAAGTTAAATTGTGTCATAAGTGGTATTGATTAGTGTTAAATTGATCTGTGATTAATCTAAATCTGTGATTAATTTTGCTCGTTCTATGAAAATGGTTCTTGACCTGAAGGTGTGTCCTTAGACATTTGTGTCACTGCTCACAGTGCATACTGACACAGAAAGTGTAAGTCCTATGAAAGAAAATAACAAGAACACAGCTTTGAGTTTATTCTGAAAAAACCTTTATTCTTCTTTCCTTTGGCAGTTTTAAGAACACAAATTTAGTTTATTGTTTTGTTTTGTTTTGTTTTTAAAGACATAGTTGGATGGACAACACACATAATTTTGGAAGTACAGGAAATTAGGAAATTATGATGCTTGGGTGTGTCCAAACAAGACAGCTTTTGTAAATGGATGCAAATATTATACACAGATTTCAGCTCAGGTTGCAGAGGGAATATGCTGATTAAGGTATAGCAGTAGAGCTAATCAGTCTGTCAGAATTTAATAACCAAACGTCTTAAATTCTAGATAATGGAGAAAAAACTCTTTTATTTTTGTTTTTAGTACTGTCTCAGGGAGTTTTGTGCCCCTGGCTACACAATGATAATAATAATTTGATGAGGCAGCAAGTTGAAATAGGTGTTATAGTTAAGGTCCTTCAGGCAGAGATAATAGATCTTACGGTTGCTGGCAGCCTGACCTTCCTTTTACTTGTTATTCAAAGGAAAACCACCTTGCTCTTCTTCCATCAATATGTTGGGGCTTTATAAAAATAAAATAGTTATGACTGCTGAGCTTTGCATTAACACCCTGTCTCTATGAAGGAGACTAAGGTTTTAGCATTCATATCATGCCAGACCCCCTGGATAAGGATGAAGGAGCCAGGGACCTTCCTTGGCTGACAGAGGGTGGTTTTGGGCATAGGCTGAAGCTGATGTTTGGAGATCATGGGAACTCAAGGGCTGCTCAGAGCAGCACCTGGAGATGCTTCTGTGACTCTGAGGTAAACAGCACTGTGGAGCAGGTTTTCCTATGATATTCCTGGACATATACAGTCTGTTAAATTCTCACAGAGACAAAATGTGGGTGGTCTGGATCCTGTCATAGTATTGTTAGCAAAGAAATTATTCTAAAAGAATGACTTACTTAGAGTGAGAGCTACCTTGTTTGTCTAAAATTTAAAAATCTATGATTTGAACAAATTGTCATTTTATCTTCCAAAGAACACATTACCTCTGCCGTGTGGAATACCCATATGATCTGCACTGTCAGATTCTATTATTATTGTGACAGATACTGTAGCATATAAATTTTAAACTAATGAAAAAAATGTCATCTATCTTTTGGAGCTAAATGTTCAAAGTGCATCAGCTATTCAATTTGATAGATCATTCTTCAGACAGTTTGAGAAGAATTGCATATTAAAAATACAGTGAATGGGAGAAACTCTCACTTTTATCCAGCTTCACACTTCTTAAACTAATTCTTGAGAACTCATGAGAGGTCTACTTCCAGAAATGTTTCTTTACTCAAAGTAGCTGGGAAAAAAAAAGGTAAATAATATATTTCTATATTAAGATAAATTCGATTTGAATAAAAAAAATAAAGCAGGGTATTAGAACATACTAATGCCAGTTTTCTGTTTATTATGGTCTCCTGGAAATAGCTGAAAGGGGAAAGAATAACTGCAATTTATTGCTTTGATATTATTCTGTAGGTGAATGGTATCAACATTTATGATTCTCTAATAAAAGAACACACACTTGGGTTTTACAGGCTAGAGCAGTTGATAAATTCCATTAAATGTTTTAATGCAGACAACTTTTCTTATGGGAAAAAAAAATAAAAACCTTTGCAGGTTCCAGATGCAACAAAATTTTGGATACTTTTAAAGCTGGACAGAAAATGAAGAGCTTGAAAGCTGAAGCCCTTAGATAATTTCAGCTTGAAAAGACTTGAACACAGGGGCAAATATGAATCTAACCATCAAATTTCCTAGATTGTTTTGTTTTCATGTTCATTAGCATTTTCATATTAGCATGTTCATTAGCATGTTTCATAAGCATTTTCTTATGTTTCAAATGCTTCATTTAATCAATTAAATCATTGTTTAAAATATCAACAGGTGCCCATTATTGATGAGGGCAAAAACATCACACTCTGGTCATGTATGACTTGTTACTCTCATCTTTCCTCTTTCTGTTACATAATTTCAGAAACCATAAAGTTTGTTATCAAACCATAGAGGATATAAACCTCAGATGAAATTACTCAGATTGAAATTACTTAGAGTATAATTTTAACAAAGGTTATATGATTTTTATTGTAATTAATTTACAGGGACTCAGGAATGTAATAGCTATTTACCCTTTCCTCATTTTCTGAAAGTCAACATTTGAGGAATCCACCATTACAGTTGGCTTCCAGGCGTTTTCCATTAACTTACTGGAATAGGTTCTTTTACTTATTGGAAAAAGAGAAAAAAGAGAAACATTTCATCAGAAGTTAAACAATCCTCACTTAGAATAACCTGTAAGGCTCCTCTTGTCAATGGAAATTTGGTTGCTTTTTCAAATGTGTTTCATTTTATGTTCTCAATAGGTACAAGGGCTTTTCTTCCCATCTCTGTGTATGGTTTTGATGCCTCAAGAGCCAATGCACAGAGAAGAAATCAGAACTTTTCAGGACTTATTTGGGAAAAACAATGGGAACAGGAAACTTGTCACATCCATACTCAGCTTCCTTCCTAACAAAGCCCTTGTACTGCTTTGGCAGCTAATGCTGAATAATAAATCAAGTTATAGGGGATAAGCTGAAGAATGGAAAAAATAAATTTTTTCACTCTAAAAGGGAAGACATTCTAATATGAAGAAACTTTTCAGTCTGAAAAATCCATGACATTTTAAAAATAATCCCTGCAGTCTGATTAAATATGGAAATGATCTTTAGACAAAGGGAACACTTCACAATTCTGAGCTTGATTTTTTTTTTTATTTATCTCCTACAGATTCAAACAATTTCAGAGGATGTAACTAAACCACCTGTGGTTTACCATTGATCTTTACCATAAATCAGAAGAATGATGAAAATTGTGGAAAAAGGTCAGTGAACTTTATTCCACTTTTCCTTCACTTATATCTTCTGTTATTTAAAATAAATTGTATTATTTTGTGCTACAATAACTTCTTGTTTTCGGGGGACAACAAATAATATCTGGGATGTTATTTACTTTCATTCCATAATAGAGTTTTGTTCATTTTCTGGTATGAAAAAGCCTCAGAGAAACACAGCAGGAACTCTAACACCAGATATTAAAACTGTTTTATTTTTTGAGAAAGCAATAACAGGCATTATTTATTTGATTTCAGCTTCATTGCATAAATAAGTAGTAGTTATCCTTTGCATTTTAGTGGAAGGAAAAATATCTAGCTTTGCTAGGATTTCATTATCAATGCAATGTAATAAGTGAAGTATTTTTCTTTGTTTTTTCCAAAGAAATATTTTAGAATGGGCTGAAATACAGACACTGGGAAATGAGAAAAAGGTGGGGCCTTCTCCCTTACTCAAAGCTGCACCAGGTTTTTGTCTGGGACTTCATCCACCATTCATCAATTTTTAAAAAAGTTTGTCCATCGAAGACCAATCTGAACATATTTTTTCTTTTTTGAAAAAAAAAGAAGTGTCCACTTCTTAGAAACACTCTGCATAAAAGAAAATCTTCAGTATTATATTTGACTTCTCCATAAATAATTTTACTGTATGAAATCAGAGCTTCTTATATTCGTTTTGATGTGCTGTGATTTTCCTGCTTCATGCTGTAGGTCATGCTGTGGGATTAGTAATACAGCCATTCTGCTACTGACTAGTAACTGACAGAAGCTGTTTTCATAACCTTTTTTGAAGATTGCAACATCTATATTTGTATTTCTGTTTTCCAGCTTATCTTGACTTTTCAAAATACTTGCAAGTTCCTTATCAGTAGAGTTGCAAAACTTGTAGTAAGGAATAAGTTCATTTTTTAGCTAGCATGCTATTAGTTCAGGAAAAGTCACTTAAAAACATGAGCAAAAGAGTCTCAATATATTTAAAATGTAACCTTGAAAGAAAAAGAAATGTTATCTCAAATAATCAAGCCTAATTATTCAGGACTTTAGAGATTATTATCAAACCTTCAGAGTCAAGTTAGATGAGTCTGACTGCTGGATGGACTTCAAAGATCCTTGAGAGCAAGGTGCTTTGGCAGGCTGACCTTCATCTGAAACACTCATGTACATGCATTCACCCAGCTGTGTGCTTGTGAAATGTTTTGTACAGCAATAACATCCCCGTCTATTTTTTTCCCTAAATCAGAGCATTGGACTTCACAGAGGAAAGTTTTCTTTATGCTTTAACAATATAAATATACAAAAAAATTATACATGATATAATCTTGATTTGCATGACCATCTTAGAGTAAGTATTTTTATGCATGTGCCTAAAGATGAACCATCCTATTCACCTTTTAAGGATTGAGAGAGTAGCATTGTGCCTGGGTTTAATGTTGCTGCCAAAAAGCCAGTTAAACAGATTATTAAGAGTTGTAGAAGCAGTATAAATTCTCAATCTAGATTAAAAAAACACAGTAGCAGTGGCCTTAGAAGTGATGAATCAGTGTAGTAAGGAAAAAAGCTCTTCCTGTACTTTCTCAGTTTGTAGTATGAAGGTGTGCTCTGAAGTGTGAGTTTGACGGGTTTTCCTGGATTTTAAAACATATTTTATTTTCTGTTGTGTAGCAATCCAATTAGTGAGAGGTGCCTCTGCCGAAACTAAGTGCAGACAGATCACATGCCACAGACAATAATATGAATTTTATTTAACAATTAATGTGTGGTAGACTAGTAGAAAGGAATAGAAAAGGGGCCTAGGGAAAGAGAGTCCAAGCAGAACAGCTGTGGGTCCAGGAGTGTCTCTTGGTCCTTCTTCACCCTGGATTTCTCAGTGGTGGGAGCTCCAGAGCCTTTCTTCTGTGGGTACCACCTTTATACAGTCCAGGTTTTGGTTCCCATGGGGTGGTCACAGATGCTGTTCTGGATGATACATGTCTGGACAATTGCTTCCTTTCCCACAGTTTGTCACAGTGGGAATATTTGTCAGGATGCATTAAGCAGGATATGCTAAGCAAATTGCCTCTGCCAGGCCTGGATTTAGCGCCTTTCTGTTGCAAATGCCTCCCTTCTGTGCTTATCTCAAATACCTGCTGTGGTGGCTTATCTTGTGACAAGATCCTTCTGTGGCCTTGACAGTGTTTGAGACAGGCAGCTGAGCTTTTGAGAAAAGTATATTTGATGGTGTTTTAGCATTTGGAATTAAGTATTTAATATTTAGTGTTTTAGTAGATGGTATGGTAATTTTATAATTTAAGATTGACTTCAAATTAAATAGTTTCTTTTTTTCTACCCGTGAACATTGTTATTTTAATTCAAAATTTGCTACAATTTGACATGAATATGATATATTAACTATAATGATAGTATAAAGTCTTATGGAAATTATTTTTTACACTGACTAATATAGCACTGTATTCTACTGTATTCTAACAAATAAACAATATATTCTCAATATACACCATTATAAGCCCTACAGCTACTTTAAAAGAAAAGCAAAGCACAACACAACACAGAGAATTTCAAAGGATATCTAGTCGGATAAGTGCATGGTACTGCCCATGAAATACATTTTGACTGGAATTTAAGCATAAAATTAAAGTTAAATTTCTGAAGGTTCATTTCTACTCTTAAGATAGTAAGCAAAACAGAAAGGACATGTAACTCCTCATGCAGGAAAGGAAATTCAAATTAGAAGGGGCAATTTACAATTATTAGCAGGTCTTGCATTACTATTTCTCTGACTTGAACACCTCATTTAAATACTCAGTGAAGGCACAATGGGCTTTGAGGAAAATCTTGATAGACAGTGTTTTCTAATAATTTTCTTTTCCAGCCTCAGTTGAAATACTTTGCAACTTATTCATATTTCGTCCTCCATCATTTTCTTATTTGAAATATTTTGTCACAAATTTTCAGATTGAATCAGTCATAATACAACTCAATATTAGTGATTCTTACTCTATGTGAAATAGTTTACAAATAGGAAAATAAAAACTATAAACATATACTAAACAAATGGATTGTGTAGGAAAGAAAAAAGAGAAGAAAGGATGTATGAAGTCCTCAAATCAAACAGTTTCAGGTTACCCATGAAGATCCATTGTAAACCATCTGCAGTGTGGGAAGGGTGAGTTATGAAGCTCACAGGAGCTGGCTTTTGTATTTTGTTTGCCTTGAGATGTGTATGTCTCAGCTGGTAGCTATTCACACACATTCTGTCATGCAGTGATGTGGTAAGGGTCATGGCAGGAAAAATTATAACAGATTCATTAAAATAATGTTCATGTTAATCTAAAACTCAGATACATTACAAATAATGAATGAGCTCTGCCAAGCACTCCAAATGAATATGGCAAAATCTATGCAATAAATAATTCAGTTATGTGTGTCTTATATTTTACAGAAACTTCTAAAGTGCTGTAAGAAACATTTTTCTCAAAAAAAGAACAAACTTTTGGGAGTGAGGCAAATCTCTTCAGCTGTAATGATAAAATATTTTTTAAGAACTATGACATGGAATACTGCTTCCACTGTATCTTTCAGAATAGTTTACTTGATCACAAAATGAGAAGCAAAGTTGAGTGCATAGATATGTTGGCGTTATACTTAATTATGCTTGTCATTAAACATGTAATCTAAGTCATATATATTCCAAAATGGAAGGCCTCTTGTTATTCTTTACTTTTAAAAATGGAAGATATGTCATAGCTGTGAGCTAAATACCTCCTTTGCATTCAAATCTCTGAGTTTCCTAGAAAAACAATAATGTTAATGGAAGTTAGAGCATTCAATTTCAAATTTAGAGGCTTTTGTTGATAATGTTACTTAAACCCAGGAAGGTTATACTTAATTATAGATATGGCAGTGTTTTTGACAGTTCAACCTCTTTAATGGATTATCTTTCCTCTTTTAAATATAAGAAGCAGGAATAATAAAAAAAATGAATCTACAAATTTAACAAGCTTCTTTTTATATGCTTAATAACTATCTTTGAAGAAGAATACACACCATACTGAGCTTTAAAAAACTGACAATATTTATTAAGCCACAAAAGAGCTTATGTAGCTTTGTGATTATGGACGGGAAAGAATTTTAAAAAAGGCAAAGTTGGCAAAAAAAAAGCTTTAAAGTAAGCAGAAATTACATGTCAGTCATAGACATTAAAGCTGGCTGTTTTTAAACTCCAACTGCTAAGCCCTGGGCATGAAACAAGAAAATGATGAGGTAGGCTGAATGAAATGCACACAAATGCTAATGTTTAGAATCTTACCTAAAGTTAAAAATACAAATGCTTGCTTTAAGGAAGAGGTTTCAAATAAAATAAAAGAATCCATCACATATGTCTGTATGAATACAAATACACTGAAATCCACACATACGGAATACGTTAGACTTTCCTTTTTTGTTGAGAAATTTTTCTACTGTATGCTCTAAAGGATACTGAAGTTTACTGTTACAGTAATGCAGAAATGCAGAAATAAGGATTTTTACTGAATAAAACAACATGATTTTATTGGGGGAGGAAGGAACCTGGCAGTCTTGAAGTGGAGTAAAACTATTATCATTGCATACAATACAATCAGCACCAATTAATTTATTTCCTGCTTCTTTTGAATGCTTGCTATGGTCAATCACAGCATATGCTGAAGAACTCTGCAGAAAAATATGGCCTGAGAATGTTTCTTACAATAATTGTCAGGTATTGAAAAATTAAGTACTTGATTTAGGAAACCACATCTTAATTTCCTTATCTATGGCATTAGATATATTTACATGTGCCTACTATAAATGCACACTTACATGAGTGTGTGTTTGTGTGTTTAGAGTGTTGAAAAAATCAGTTTTGTTTCAACCGTGTTCATCTGCAAAATACAGCAACATAATAAAAATTACAAAATAGATGTCTATCATAAAAAACTCCAAACCAACAAAGTACAAAACATTTCAAGTTAGAACATTACTACTTCTCTTTCCTGGCCCAGAGTCCTATTATGGATTTTCTTAGACTTCAAGAATGGAGCACTGAGAAAGCAGTGGAAAGGGCAAGGATTCCCAAAACTTACCACATATTCCTCATTGAAGATGGGAAGAAACGCAGAGGAATCAGCTCACATATTTTCCAATGCATTTGTATTCCCTTCTTGGACTCCTCTGTCCTACAGACATTCTCCCACCCCAGTCTAATCACCTTGTGTGCAGCTGAACTGCAGGCAGTGGACTTGGTCTCACCACTTGAAGCAGCCCTACTTTAAAGGGAAGAGCTGATGAAACAGTCAGACTCCACCAGTCTGAACAGAAGAATCTATAGTCTCTGGGGGATCTGTCTCCCTTTTGTCTGCATCATGTTTTACCTTAAATGATTGTTGATTTATATATCTAGAGTCAGCAGGAATACAGTGACTCATAATAACCCTGTTATGCCATTGGACATGCTATTGCTTGGTTTTGTTACTGCTACCATATTATTTCTGCTCTCTCATAGTGTTTGTTTTATAACAAGTTTTATTTTCCATGGACCTGTCTGTGAGCAGTACAGTCAGGCTGAAGCACTGCATGGGATCTTTGCATCCTTCCATCACAAGCAGTGATAAGCACTAGCTTTTGCAATGTACAGTTCCATTTTCAATTTCCTACTATATGTGTTAAAATAAAATGTTCAAATTAAAAGGCTGTTTTGAGTCACAGCTAGGAGATCTGTCTTTATTGGATCACTTCATTAGTCAAGACTGTTTTTCATTTATTTGCAAATAAATGACTCTTTTTCATTTTTTTGTCTTCTGTGTGCATGCATTCTTGTGTGCGTGTGCGTGCGTCTTCAGAAATTACAATAGAGTATGGAAACAATGGTAACATCCCATCCAGAATGATCTCCCTAAGATATCACAAGAAAATTGTTTTAACAATAATAGCTGGCCACATGATGGGCCCTTTAGTCCATTATTTTAGTAAAAAAACTTGAATAAAGAATTGAATTTCACCTAATAATAAGACAATAAATTATGTGACTATTGTAGATAAACCTTGTGAAATATAAAGCCTTGTGAAAGATAAAACCTTGATGTAACGGCAGCTGCTCAACTCATACCTTTGAGGAAAGAGCAGTGCTAGTTGTTTGACTGAAATATTGCAGGCAAATGTAAACTGCAAACAGCAGTTCCAAGAAAGTTGGAATACCATTATAGGGTAATCAATACTTTTTTTTTTTTTTTTTTTTTTTTGCCATCTAGCAAACTCCATAGCATTTCTGCATTGGGAATTCCCAAACAGACCTACCAAGGTCATGTGTCTGTTGTGTTTTACAGTCTGTTCTCCTGTGACACCACCAGTTTTTTTGCTATTAATATATGAAACCAAGTGCATCAATACTGTTGCCATTAGAATAAAAATCTAATCTCCATTTTAAGAGCTGATGTGTTCTAAAATAAAATAAAAATTATTTCTAGACATTGCCACAAATAGCACCTCAGGGATTTCATGTTTCTGAGAAGCAGCACTTAAAATCATGAACTCAGATGTCATACAGAAGTTACAAATACATATTTTTAAAGTAACAAGTACAGTACTCAGGCACTTCACTGTTTTCTGTGCTCCAAGCCCTTATTCTCAGCAGCAAAAAAAACCAGTGCAGAGATGCAGCACGTAATAGGTTCAGGAAAGGTACACATATCATTGTACATTCCTTGTCACTGGAAATGGGCTGGGTACACCAGTGGAACAATGTAAACTTGAATTCTGACAGAAAGATTCACACTGCGGGTCGTTTTTCACAAGCTTTCTGAAGGTGACATTTAATCTCATGAATTTTCATCAGAAAATATATTTCACTCCATACAGGTTAAATCTGTTGTCTTAACTATATGCAGTGAATATTCTTATCTGAAATTTGCAAGCATTTATCAAGTCAAGAATAAAGGTGTGCACTCTGATGCATCTGTCACAATTAAGAGCTGTATCTCAGCCATCAAGTATGGAGCCCTTGTGAAGGCTGCATATTTGTGGAGAAGTCTATGCAAATAAAGCATGAAATTTAGGAAAAAAAAAAAGAAAAAAAATGAAAAAAATACACCAAAGTGATAATATTTATTAATATGGATGTAAGAGAGATATTGGACACAAATCCAAAAGCTACTCCTACACTAGTGAACTAATTAGTGATAGAATATATTTTTTTGGCCAGTGTCAAAGACCTGCTGTTACATCCTTATCATTAAGTTCTCAGCCACAAAAATCCTTGTGCTTATGTATCACACTGGATTTTTTCAGGGGAGTATAGGAGGCAAAATAAGTAGTAGTGCCCTTGAGCTTCTTATCCCGAATGTAGGTGATGGCTTTCCAGTGCTTTTCTTTACTTTCTAGAAATATATTGTTTATTTTTATGGACATAGTGTGAAAAGCTACATATGCAACTATGGTGGATGTTAATTATTGCAAATGCTGCTTAATGACAGTCAATTGTATACTTTATTATAATCTTCAATTCAAAATTGTTTTAAGAAGTGGTCAATTCCTGTTTTCAAAAATGACCCTAATACACCAGGAAACAGGGTTGACTAGCTGCAGGGTGTATACATGTATTTTTATTCCAAAATTGGTTTTTCTTGAATTTTTACTTACAGTATTTGCAAACTTACTTACTTGGTGTCCTGCTGCGCTATGTACATGACAAGCTTCAAATAGAGATAACAGTCCTGGAACCAGTCACTTAAAATCTAAAAATAAATGGTATAACTTAAGGCTTAAACAACCAGAGGGAGAGGAAAATAATTAGAAAAAAGAAAAAGAAGAAAAAAACTGCTCTGGACATTGCTCAGTGGAAACAAATTATATAAGAACTATATCACTGAACCTGAACACAGCACAGAGCTTAGAGACAAAAACTATGAACTCATGATTTTCAAGAGAAAAACTACTCCATAGATTCTATAAAAATGTCTCTTCCTAACTACTTCATAGACATTTACAATCAGATGCCAGAACACACAGAGTGTGAACCAGTATTTTCTGAAAACACAGAGGAATTCCCTTCTAACAAACTTCCTTGCTTTTGTCTTTACATCTTTCTATAGGCAAGTCCTCTCTGAAAAACAGTTACATTCTTTTGAAAAACATTCACTTGAGTGTCAGGAGCAAGACACAGTGAAAAAAAAAATTATCTGTTTGTCTGCCTTTTTCTCATCTATCACGAAAAAGACAAAACCATGTCAAAGAAGCAGGAAAAATGGAGGATATTTTATCACCATAATATACTGTAATACTTCCTTTATGATAATCGCTTATTTATGTAATTTTTAGATTCTCTTACTGTTGAATATTCAGACAGTTTACATATGGAAAGATGACTATTTTCAGAAAAATCTATTTAGTCATCATTGTTAATTTATTTTCTTTCCCCTTTCACACCAATCTGTGATTTCTCTCTCCATTCCATTCATTTTGGCTGGAAATTTCAAGTGCATAGCCTTTTCCTTTCAGTAATTCTTTCAAAAATTCTTTCATATTAGCAGAGCTAGTGTTTTTTCTCCTTTACTGTGAATAAAAAAAATCTTTTTTGCTTTTTTGTTTCCAAAGCTAAAGAGTTTAGATTGCAAATTTGATGAATGACAGAATGAGAATACCTCTAAAAATTATTATTCTTTCTTTTCCTTTTGCTTTAGGAAATGAGAAATATCCTGCAGCTGAAAATATAAATAAGCCATACAGCTACTTAAAAAAAAAAAAAAAAGTCCTGTAGAGATTTGACATGACCAGTATCATCACACAAATTGTTCCATTTCAATACTGTTGTGCAGAGTTGTCGGCAATGTAGGTGAGTAATTTTAACAGCTAATGCAATGGATCAGAATATTCCTCCAGGATGAGCAATGATGGAAATTGTTTGGGTCAGGCAGTCCCAAAGCATAATGTGCATTCTTTCTAAAATCTACAAGGACGGAAGAGAGAAGATATGTTAAACCTGCTTCCCAGTGGTTTCCAGTTTCATTTGAATATACTTCTGCACATAAGTCCATAGGTTTTGGTTAAAAAGACTTCTTTTCCTAGTTTGCTTACAATTTGTGCTTGTAAGATCATCTTAAATTAGAACACATGCTGGCAGTATAAATGTGTGTATTTCTTTCTTTAATGAAACAAAGCACAAAAAAAGAAAAGGGGAAGTATCTTATTAAAACAGTAGGTATATCATAATAATTAGGTATATAGAATCAATGTGTTGGATTTTAATAGTATCTCAAGGGTTGTTAGATTAATTTTTCAATTGAACAAAGGTGAATTTTCAAAGATTTAACAAACATAGAATATTCTTTTTAAAGTGAAAATCCTTTCTCCCTCTTCCTCAAGTGAACTCCTTTGCTTAAGAAAACAAGAACTTGTTAAGTCATAAATGCAATTGTGTTCTCTCAGGTAAGGAAAATGTGCAGGCAGAGAATCAGTTCAGACTGTGAGCTAATGCAGCCTCCTCAGTCTGTCAGAAGAACTGTAAATCCTATACAGAAGATTTCACCCAAATGAAATGGATTTTGGCTATGCTCCTGCCCTGGATGGGTACTCTGAAGGTACCCATGAACTTTCTATTATTAATCAGAAAATTCATAGAGAGATGGAGACTCAGCACCCAGCAAATTCTGTGCCATTTCACTGCCCCACTTTTGCTGGAGAGAAAATTGTTATTTTGTACGGATTTTTGTTAAAGTGCCAGTCACTTTTTAGTGATAGTAATACACCAGGAACTCTAGTTCCAACAGTGGAAATACAGACAATCAGAAAACATCCTACATATCTGCATCTCTGCTTCATAAAGGAATAATTTTGAAAGAGAGATTGAGTCAGCATAGTATTAATAAATCCCAATTTTCTATCATAGCACAATAGAGAAACGTTAGCGGCTCATATTGGTAAAAATGTTTTAAAAACACTTTCACAGCTAAAACAACAGGATTAAAAAAAAAAAAAAGAAACATACAGGAATCTGTTTCTAGGTATTGGGTATCTTTCACTCATTCTTTATCTTTTGAGAAAATCACCATCTTCATTAAATGAGTCTCATTAATATCATACTCCAAGATATAAATGCTTCCATTTAGGCTGAAATTTAGTTAGCAAACGTATTTTGGTCCATATGGAATTGGCTTAATTAAGACAGACTAATATTTTGGGCCAAACTAATTAATAGCTTAGGAGTGGATTCAGCTTTAAGATTTTTAGCAGTCTCTTAAAGTAGGGTCTCTCAGAGGGAGGCAGCTGCTCATCATTGACATGCAAGGCTAATACATTCAGCTTGAAAATGAACCTGAGTAGTTCCAGCTGAGCTTTGCCACTGCATGTATTGGAAATCTTCTTGTCACCTGAGTATTTCTAGTGCTTCTTTCATCTAATTAGCTCTCATATCCTAAACTAAAGTTACAGAAAAACTGGTGTACTCTTGCTGACTGAATTTGTAGTGGAGTAGAAAAGATCAAAGAGAAGGCTGAAAACAGTGTCCTGCCACCTCCCATGGAACTGCAGCACTGCCACCCATTTCCAGAGACCGAAGAGGTGAGGTGGATAGGGCTTCCTTCAGGAGGGAGGAAAACATGAAAGAGGTATCAAATAATATAAATGGGACCTGTATTACTTTTCTTCTTTTACTACTGTTCAGGTTACAAAACTCTAGTCTCCTGACTGTTACTGACCATTGTTTGTCACCTTTTCCTTCATTATGTTGCATGCATAATCACAGCAACAGTATATGATGTTTATTTTATACTTATGCACTTCCAATAGCACACCCAAGCCACCTGAGACCCCTGGACAGGATGTAGGTTTATAAAAGCTCTACATCTTGAATTTGCTTACTTGAGTTAAAGTCAGTCATGAGAATATGATATTTGAATTAGTTATTTAGTCCTTCAGTTTGTAACTTCTGAAATTGTTTTCTTTCAAGTATAAGAATTGTACATGACCTTGCATCTTGTCTCAACACAGTGTTCTACTTTGGGAAAAATGCCTTCTTCTCCACTGGGAGTTGAAGATCAAATCCTCAGTGGATCAAGTCCTTGGACAAAAATTGTGATGGTAAAAATTGCTTGAAATCCTACAATTATTGTTAAACGTATAATCATACATATACATACTACATATATGTTTCTTGTGTGTATAGGCAATTAGAATTTAGAAACAAAGAAACCAATCCCCAAAATGCACTACAGCATATGAATATTTCTATAGCAATTTGTTTTGCTTTGAGTAACATATGAATGCTTCCTTAGAGTAGCCATATCATTATAATGACTCTTCTGATGTTTGTAAATTATGCTAACAATTATCTTTTTTACAAGCAAACATAAAAATTCATCACTATGTTAACACTGTGGTTAATATAGAGAAGGGATTTCTAAGACATACAGGTTTTAATGTACTGCTTTTTTCCTCCCACTTTATTGTACTTAGCTTCCTTTAGATAAAGCAGTACAAAAATTTGCTAATTATTTTTCTCACTGCAATATGTTTGTAGTGCCACTTTTTATTTTTTGTCCAGATTTCTTTATGGAAGCAATGTTTCTGCAAATGGTATTCTTACAAGTTAATAAGAAAGGTATTACGTTAATCATATGTAGTTTCTTCTGTGAAATCAAGATGACAGAAAAATATTTGAGGAGTTGACAGCTTTTATATTTTCATGTTTTCTTGGTCAGAGCTACTGCTGCTGCACAGCTCTCAATGTAAATGGTTTGCTAGAAAAACAGTGGTGTTTTCTTTGTATTTTATTTCATTTAGAATTGATCATGCCTCTGCTTCCAGATCTACCAAGATTAAAAGTGCATCTGAATTAATGTCAGCTTTAGATATCTATTACAATGTCAGTAGCTTGAAATCTATTATATTAATGTCACATATATCTAGTAAAGTAGGAACACAAGTCTAGGAATAGGGATTTTTAGAGATCTGACCTGTTTTTCCTCTTTTCTGTAACTTTCTGCCTAAAAATAAACAAACGTCTGCTGGTTCACATTCTCTGAAATATCTAAGTGCCAATTTGTCATCGAAATCAGTTGGTCATCTCTAGCTAAGAATATTTAAAAGACATCAGCCTCAGTCTGCTGTCTGTATGATGATTATTCAATCAAGAGGTATCTTTAGATATCTTAACCTCAGCGTGCCTGCAGCACTGAAGGTCAACAGTGTCCTGGGCCACACAGGCAGGAGGGCTACCAGCTGCTCAAGGGATGTCACCCTTCTCCTCTAAAAAGCACTACTGAGACACGTTTGAAATGCTGTCTTCTTTGTAAGAGAGAAATGGACATGCTGGATCTAGCCCAGCAAAGGGTCACAAATGCCATCAAGGAATGGGAGTATCTGTTGTATGAGGAGAGGTTGAGAGAGGTCTCCCAGAAGAGAATGCCATGTAGGAGCAATATCAATGCGCATATGTTCCTGTTTGCATGCTGTAAATATGAGGCAGACTATTCTCAGTAGTAGCCAAGGAAAGGACAAGAGACAATGACCACAAACTAAGATACAGGCAATTTAATTTAAACATCAGAAAATCACATTTACTTGAGAGGGTAAGACACTGGCACAGGTTACCCAGAAAGCCTCTGAGCTGTTCATTCTTTAAGATACTTTAAACCCAGCTGGACCAGATCTGATCAACCCACTCTAACTAACCACACCTTAATCTGGGAACTGGACTATGATTTCCAAAGGTGCCTTCCCACTTCAGACATTTTGTGATTTTATGGTGAAGATATTCCTGTATTTTATTTGAGGAAGAAAGGAAGTGAGAAATAAAAAAATTCTCCAAAAACATACCTAATAGGCAGAATTAATTTAAAATGCAAGATACACACTTCTCCAAGTATGCAATTGAACTGTGTAGCACTGTCTCACAGAATAAGCTGAGTTAGAAGGGGCCCATTAGGATCATTGAGTCCAACTCCTGGTCCTGTGCAGGACACCCCAAGAGTGACACCATGTGCCTGACAGCATTGTCTGAACTCTGTCAGGTTTGGTGCTGTGTCCACTTCCCTGGGGAGCCTGTTCCAGTGCCTTAGCTCCCTCTGGGTGAAGAACCTTTTCCTGATATCCAACCTAAACTTCCCTGATACAGCTTCATGCCATTCTCTCAGGTCCTGTCTCTGATCACAGAGATGAGATCAGTACCTGCCTCTTCTTTTTTCCCCACAAGGAACTTGTAACTACAATGAGGTCTCGTCTCAGTCTCCCCCAGAGTGAACAGACCAAGTGACATTATCTGCTCCTCATATGGTTTCCCCTCAAGGCTCTTCCACCATCTTTGTTGCCCTGCTTTGGGCACTCTCTGATAGCTTAATATCTTACATTGCAGTGCCCAAAACTGCACACAATATTCAAGATGAGGCTTCCCCAGCTCAGAGCAGAGCAGGACAATCCCCTCCCTTGCCCGGCTGGCCATGCTGTGCCTGACGCCCCCAGGACACGCTGGGCCCTCCTGGCTGCCAGGGCACTGCTGACTGATAGTCAGCTTTTCACTGACCAGGACCCCCAGATTGCTTTCCACTGTGCTGCTCTCCAGTTCCCTATACCTGGAAAAGCATGTGAAATCTTGAGAGTTCCACATAATTCTTATTCGTTAAAAGATCTTGGGATATCTTTTTTGCTCACTCTCATTCCCTCCTAATCTCTCAAAATGCTGCCATGCATCATACTGCAGAGGTTATATGTATTGTATAAATATTTTAGTCAAATCAATAAACAACTTAGATATGAAACAGAAACAGTGGGACACAGAATCATTCTATGAGCAAGGAATAAGATATGCTTCTCTGTGAAAATGCTAGGTCTAGATCTCTTCAGATTTTCCTAAATGTTAAATCACATCTGGATGTTTACATCAGAAGCTATAGTTTTATCATAATGAAAATTACCTCCTTTGAACAGAGAGAGGTTTAATGTTTATGCAGAGGGAATATAATTATTGATTTAACTTTAGAACAGACACTGGGCAAGACTGTGCATCATCATCTCTGTTTACCTATTAAGGAAAAAAATAATCTCTCAAAATACAAAAGTTATTGTTAGAAAACTAGACAATATGTATGCTCAGAAATAAAAAAAATCAACACAGCTTTTCTTATGCTGTAGAACAATTGCATTATTTTAGAAAAACTAAGAAAAATTAGAACGACTAGGAGGATAAGCAATAAATATTTGCTGAGAAATAGAATAAAAAACTGGTTACAACTGAAACAATGAAATTGTTATCATGTAAATATGAAGATGAAAAGTACTGTAATGCTAAAGTAGTACTAGTCTTTTTAAGGGACTTGAAATAGAACTTAGGGAATCTATAGAGGTCTGGAATTACTACTGCTTCTTGTGGGAAGCTCACTCATATTTCAAAAAGCAAAGTTTTCCTTATAAAGTATGAAATGAAACACATGCAGGTATTTGTCCTCAACATCTTTGTGCTTTTGAGACATGAATATCAAAAGAAACAGGACATTAAAAAGATTTTTGCTAAACTAAATTATTACAGATGAATGCTGTGAGTCAGTTATGCATTTTTTATGACTAAAAATAGAAGAGAAGCATCCAGGCATGAAAGACATCATATGGTCTGATATTTTGTACCACTAAGGTGATCAGGTAAAGAAAATTCAGTTCTGTGAGGCCTGTATAGGCAAGTTACAATAACCTAGCTAGCCTTGTGGCACATAAGGAGCTCAGCCTGGTTGTAATGACATGACAGATACTACAGGTTTGTAAACATGCTTTGATAATATAAACAAAGAATATGTATTCAATAGAATATGCTAATTGGCAAAGACAAAAATCTGTGCCAGGCACCATGCTAACAAATAGATAGCATTGCACATTTCAGTTTGCTAGCATTGATACAAGCGTAGGTTCCAGCACCTGTTCTGGTGATTACTAAAGATGTCCTGGCTCTGAAGCATTCTGGTCTGTGCTACCCATACATAGGTACAGATAGCCCAGAGATAAAAATCTGGCTATCCTCCGTACCTGATCAAAAAATTGTTCTCTCTTAACTCTGTCATTACACCATCTCTTTTATTTTTATCCCACAAAGCCCTCATTCTCAAGTCTAAATTCTCCATTGTGCTGTTGCTTATTATGTAATATGTTTATTGGACCCCTTTTACTGAATTCTTAACTCTTAACTCTGAATGGCATAAAATGTAGAGATGTCAGATATCTATGTCTCTCTCAATTCTCCCAGAAAGTCTGAGCTTGTGAACTCTTGCTTTTTTTAGTCTTTGCCATCTTCTGCTCCCCATTCACAACATAATGTAGCAAAAATTATCTTTTTTTTTAAAAAGTCTTAGTGTATCAGAGCGTCCTCCTTTCCACAGTAAGCCATTCCTCCATTGTCAAGGAGCTGTTGTAAATTGGTTGATCCAAGTTAATCCAAGATGGAATTTGTGACCAACTATCATTCTCCTTCTTCAGCATTGGAAGATGGAGGTGTGATCAACAGCAGTATTCCTAGACACTTTAACAACTTGATATTCTTTATCTTGTGTTTCTGCAAGATATGTTGCCTGTTTCTCTCATCCTCATATAAGACAGTCTTTAAAATTAAAGAAGCTTGGACCTGGTTAGAACTGACCTTTGGTGAGATTATTAAACATTTTTGTATAGCAGGTTTATTTTTATTGATTTACAAGCTTTTCAGATTAAAAAACCTTCAAAAACAACCCAGAAGTGATCTACCTAGTTTCACCCTGAAAATTGTAATTTGTAATTTTTGTAACACTGGAATTTCAGTTTTAGCAGGTAAAGAAGTTTGAAAGGCTGTTCCAGGGGGAGAGGGGAGATAGAGGGAATTTTGTTTACTTTTTAACTTTGAAGAAATTGTTCCATTTTTTTTTTTTCCCTTTCTGGAGAAAAGCATATTGCCTAGCCTGCTGTAAAAAATGAATATATTCTTTTCAGTTATAATTTATAATATTCTTACATTCTTGACTAGAGCAAGATATAATCCAGCAATTAGAAATTAGTGTGCCTCACATTACACCCATGGATGTGTAGCCAAGCTAGGCTGAATGATCAGGGTAGACATAGAGCATCTTAACTTGGCACAGTAATCTGGACCAATCATGCCAAAAGATGGGCACCAGGAATCTCACAGAGCTGGCTGCACTGAACTAAAATGCCAGGCTAAATCTGCAGTGAATCCTCCTGCCTCGACAAAGTGGAACAGATTACTTTGTGAGCTACACAGTCCTTTTAGTAGTATTTCATGCAGTTACTGTTATTACAGTCAGTTCAGTTATTCCATCCAGACTTTCTCCACTTTTGAATGTTTAAATTTTTAAATTTCAAAACAGAAAAGTAAGAAAAACAAAAAAATTCCAACTTTTTAATAAAAAAAAAAGCTAACAACAACAATATTTTTCTTAATTAACCACAATTTATGACAAAAACTAACTTCTGAGTGAATCATTATGGTAATAAGTTATATCAGGAAATATTTATTATGGACAAACTAGCACGGGCTCAAAAATTTAGAAGACTGTCCAGCTATGATAAGGTCATTGCTTAAATGAAAAAGAGATTATACATGTAGACAAAGGGAAAAAAAAGTCCATTTCTTAATGCTGTTATTCCATAATTAGGAACAACAGGAGCAGCGGGATTTAACACTGATGGAATTTACTAAAATGGACTTAATCCATAAGAATTCATAGCACCAAGGTTTCTGCTAACATCAATTAGGGTCCAGAGATTCACAAGTATTTGTGAGACCTCATTATGAGATTTTGGAGTGCTACTAATCTGTAACTTTTGGTACCTCAATTATTTTTGAAAATCCAGTCTCTCTTGCTTTGAATTTTCCTACAGAATTATCATCTGGGCCTCAAATGTCTCCTGTAAATAAGTACATGGGCCAGGCAAGCTCTAGGCATGGCTTTTGAGCTGTGATAGTTTAGCTGAACTGTGGACACAGTGAGCAAAAGCTACAGGCTAGAAGAGCTTTTAACTGTACAGCAAGAAGCATCTAACACTCCCATTTCCTAGGACTGAATAATGTTTTAGATTTTTTAACTGAAAGTGGATTCCTTTTTCTTTGCTCACCTCTTAGTTAGTCTGTTTCTTCTAGATTTTGTTTATATTAATAAATTGTACCAGACTCCTTTTTGCCCTACTTAGGCATAGTTGGTAATGTTCCTTTGTTTTTAATGTTAGACACAGATTTTTCTTTTCTCATCTTATTACTTATCGTTCATATTTAATGCTGCACACAGAATTATCTTTTAGACTCTTTTTACCTTTTGATTTCTTGTATTTAATGACACACCCAATTGTTTGATATCCTTTTTTTCCCTAGGAACCTGTCACTGCTCTCTATTTAGCTGCTTTGAACTAGCTTTCATCTTTTAGTATTTAAATCATCTAAGTTCTCATGTATCATACTGCATTGTTCCTCATTATTTACTCCTTCTGACTATAATGCCATTCTCTTCAAACTAGTGTTACTTTTTTCTTTGTTTCATGCTCTTTGCTTTTAATTTTCCAAGTCACATTTACGCTTATTACATGACTCCCACACCTTAGCTATTGTCATTAACCTCAGATGTGAGACTTTATCAAAAGCGTTTTCAGAAGCTTGTCTGAAGTGTCTTATCTACAGCAGCTCGTTTGTCGTCTGTGACCGAGGAGAGTTATAGAATGACAGAAGGCTCCTCTCACTGGAAGCTAAGTGCCCAACCCTCTGAGTCCTTTGTTTGAATGTAGGTCTCCAACATGGCAGTCTACAATAGAAGCACTTGACAAAAGGATTGATTTTTACATCCAGCACTGGAAGAATGCATATAATTTCCATGTATTACATGGTGTATGTACTACATAATTTGAACCTTTTTTTTTCTAGCTGCACTGAATATCCTGTTTGAAGCCTGGGCTATCTTGAATATGATTTCTATTTTAAATAAATGGCATTAACTTCAGAGTTAAACACTCAGTAGTTGCCATCACTGCCACAGAACTTTACCAGATATTATGAATTGTTTGCTTGCCAACCAAAATCCAAATCTAAAGCGCAATTCCAAATCTGAAATTATGCTTCCAAAGTACAGGTCCCTGTAGAGAACCTAATTGGAACTGGATGAGTTTTTCCTGTAGAAACTTCAAAAAACAAATTTCACCAAATATGAATTTACATTCAAAAATATTTTAAATCCTGATGATTCATAAGGATCTGTAAATAAGGAAATAAAGTAATGTCTTCAAGAAATTCAGTGCTATATTTTGATCCTAAATACTCTTAGTAACACTATTCATTCCATTTCAAGAAAAGTATTTCATCACTGATGAAAGATGAAAAGGGAATATGGGGGAAATCTCGCCTATTAGTAGAATGGGGGAAAAATGTCTGCAATTGCAAGGGTGCTTATATGGTAAAAGCATAAAAAATACCCAAGTAGTAAAAACCAGGAGATCAGGAACATTTGATCTCTATGACCTGTGCCTCAGAAATAGGAGACATTTCCTAAAAGGCAGTAAATGAGCTTCAAAACTCGTCATCATCATATCTCAGTGTCTGTAAAAATGCTAGTAAAAATCTCATACTCATACCAACAGAGACCAAATCGAGACCTTTTGGAAACAAGGGTCAGAGGGTATCCTTCAACTTCTACCTACATCACATTTCTCTAATGTATCTATTACTTGCTATCATCTGAGACTACGGGTATCACTGATGACTTGAATGACACCTTCTGTTGGTTCTCACTGCAAATTGTGTTAATAGGAAATAAATTAAATCCATTAGAGCTGCTGTCTTCATAGCTGACTTTAATTCAAAGCTGCTTTGAATCAAAACATAATCAAACTTTAGCCTTGAGGCTTCACAATCAAGTTAGACTGATCAAAGGGGGGAAGGTTTGTGTAATGTTCAATCTAATATAATTGAGGACCTAACACAGGTGCTTTTGCTCTCCTTATTGTTATCCTTCTTCATATGATCCCACCCTTCTTAAATATATGTGTCGGTTTGTTCACTGAACTTTCTGATCTAGCTTGTTCTGCATTTCCCTGTATGTTACATCTGATAATAACCAGGCACTGGAAAACACTCTGGGTAGGAGATCACTTTTGACCTGGATTATGTTGGAAATGCACCCTTAGGTCAATTTTTCTTCTCATACCTATTTGCATGTTATGTTTCCATTTTTTGACAGTGTGCTGGTTTGGCTGGGGTAGAGTTAATTTTCTTCACAGTGGCTGGTATGTGCTATGTATTAGACTTGAGCTGAACACAGGGCTGATAATATAGAGATGTTTTTATTCTTGCTGAGCAGGGCTTACACAGAGCCAAGGCCTTTTCTGCATTTTGTACTGCTGTGCTGGCAAAGAAGTTGGGGGTAAATGGAATGTTGGAAGGAGACATAGCCAGGACAGGCAGCCCAAAATGACCAAAGGAATATTCCAGAGTATGTGACATCATACTCAGTGTATAAAGTGGAGGAAGAAGGAAGAAGAGTGGGGCATTTGGAGTGACGGCGTTTGTCTTCCCAAGTTACCATTAATGTATAGGAGTCCTGCTCTCCTGGAGACGGCTGAACACCTGTCTGCCTATGGAAAGCTGTGAATTAATTTCTTGTTTGACTTTGTGTGCACTGCTTTTACTTTCCCTATTAAACTGTCTTTATCTCAACCCATGAGTTTTCTGGCTTTTTCCATTCTGATTTCCTCCTTGATCCTGCTGGTGCAGGACTCAGCAAGCAACTGCATGGGGCTTGGTTGCTGCTTGATATTAAATCATGACAGACAGCTAGAGTGGTTTTATAGCCCAGCAGTTGTTTGGGGTTTTTATATATATGATTCATACCACAGATCAAAATAAGTAAAGTTAATGCAAGAAAATAGCAAGGAAGCCCTGGTGAGAAGGTGAGGGTAATTATGGACAGAATTACCCTTTTTAATAGCTGCCTGATTTAGCTTGATTTAAGCTGACTGTGGACCTATCGAAAGAAGCCAAATTCAGGTTCCTCTAATGAGCATATTTCATACAACCTCTCAAAACAAAGTGAAATAGGTCAAGTAGTAATCACAGTCTCGTATTGAAAAAGGTTTTCTGTCCTAGAGAGTTCAATACTAGCTCTGTTCCTGATCTGAGAGCTTTGGACGACTTGAGGCTGTATGCAGAATAAACAACATAGTGAATTGTACCCTGAAATAAAAATGTAACTGCTGCAGGGCAGAGACCAATCATTAAATATGTTCCTCACAATGACTCAGTTGACTCCAAAGATGAATTACTCCTGTTAGCAGTGGATTACATTTTCTTGCCAGGTGTTTCTCTAACATAGTAGGATAACCTGTTTCAGTAGAGTTTGGGCTGCATGGATATGTGTCCCTGCTTTCAGTTCAATCTCAGAGAAGAATGCTCAACCTGTATAAGGAAATAAGACAAGGAGATTAAGAGAGAAAAGGCATATTTACCATTCTGAGGGCTAAATATGTCTTACAAAACTGTGACAGTAAAATGTATCGACAGAGGTCAGTTAAATTTACTCTGTAAAAAATACATCACCAACAAAGTTGTGCAGATTCTGTCTTTAGTCCTTAGTGTCATTTCTATTCTGTAGCGAAGTCAGTTATTGGGAAATCCCATACCTGCTTTGCTAGGGTGAAATGCCTCTACTTGTTATACTCTTTTAGCCAAGACACCAAAATTGCTTCGAATATTAATGACACTACAAACTTAGATGTTGCTGCATTTTTGTTTTACTACTAAAACCCAACCCAAAACAAACCAAAATACCAAGCAAAACAAAAATAAAAAAGAGGGAGGAAAATTGCAAGATAATTTGCTAGTGGAACTCTTGGAAAGGAAAAATAAAATGTGAGTCCTTGTCATTCTGAAAATTCGAAGCAGTAAATCTAGCAGATCATCCTAGCCAGCCCAATAGAGAAATTATCAAAGACCAAAGTGGTTTTGGCAATATTTACTGATGAAGCAATTAAAGTGTTTTAATGAACTTTGTAAAATCTAAGAGTACAAATTTGTCTAAACAGGACTTCAGTGGGCAAGGCAGGGTAGCATTTGGACATTAATTGATGTGGGTGTTGGTTTCAAAATATTATTTTCTCTTTTAGTAGCCTTATCATCCCTTGTTTATAGGTGTTTAAAATCTGCATTTCTGAAGAACCAGATAGAGCTTCTATTAATTGTTCTGTCCTGTACTAGTTAGGTGTAGCCAGGACTACCTAGGGGAAATATGATCATCAACACAGATTCTTTAGAGTTCATTTTCACTGCTGTTGCTCAATGACTACTTGGAAACAGATGCAGGAGTTAATTATTTTCTTCTCACCTATCCAACAGTATTCATGCCCACACTCATGGCAAACAGGACCTTTTGTTCCTACTTAGCAATTTGCTGAAGGGTTAGATATCATCTGACTTAAAAATACCCACCCACACTATGTTAATGGAATTGTGGCCACATTAACAGTCATGTCATCTTTCGCCATCTCTTTTCTGCATATATACATACATGTGTGTGTGTGTGTGTGTGTGTGTGTGTGTATTACATGTGCCTATAAAAACGCATAGAAACGTCTACATTTTATGTATTATATACACTCATATCCTTATAATATAAACCCATTTATTTAAATTAAATATTTTGATGATGCAGACCTAACATATATATGAACATAACACAGATTTTTAATTGTAAATCACCAATGTGATATGTAAGTATTTATGAATTAAAGTTTACTAAAACCATCTTTCAATATATATTTTAATCAAAAGGTTCTTTCTCAGGTAGTAGACAGATGAGTTACTTAATAGTTCAGTGGACCCATAATAAATAGCTTCAGATCCCCACACGGTGGTGAAGTTTCATTAATTTTTTTCTGCTTATATTGAACTCAAACACCTGAAGTTCTTGTAGCATAATGTCACACTGACAGGGAAGGGACAGCACAGGAAGAAAAGGAAATTACATGATTATTTTTAGGAAATTTCATCATTCCCACTGGAACTGAGTCACATTATAATTGTACTCATATGCACATAAGAATGTAATTCATTTTTCAGCGCATTAATAACATGAAAGTATCAATAAGTCTCATAGTAAGAGGTTAAAATTCATTGCATTTATTGTGAAATGAAAATTGTATCAACTTTCAGCAGATATACTATTTCTTTGATACTCCATGCGTATTACACTCATCCTATTGTGTTACATACAGTACCATAACACAATGTGACCCTTCAAACTGGATATGGCTCACATTTCAAATACTGAGTTGATGAATAATACAGGGTGACATGGATTTTGATTCTCTTTGGTTTTGAACTGCTTTACATTTTTGGATTATAACTCAAATCCTAAAGATAAAACTATTATTTACTCATCATCACTGACTTGAAAGTTTTAAAGAAATCTCTGCATATCTTAACTATTAATTGAATGTGAAGAAAAGGATTAATTGCAATTTGAATTTCTTAAGTCAGTGAAAAATTGGTGCTATTAATGATGGTGAGAACCAGAGGCCAAGAACCTGAGTCTACAAAGCATTTTCATACTGTAGACATTCTCTCATGGTGGTTTCTTTAGGAATATTTTACAGGAGCTGATAAAGCAGGAGATGTCTGAGATGTTGAAATATCATACTGAGAAGATTTTTATAGTCCTCAGACAGACATTTTGAATTGTAAAGCCTTATTTCAATATCTGTTACTGCCACCTACTACCTTCTTAACTCCACAACACTTAATTACATTGCTGTGAAGCACTAGAATCTGACTTTGATGTTTGTATGTTGACAGCTGTGATCAAATTGTTTTCTTGTATGATCAAACTGACACACAGAAGGGAGAAAAAACTCAGAAATGGTATAAAACATACCTGAAAGCTATAATTGAACTTGAGTACACAATCTCTAAAACAGTCTTCCTTTATTATGCTATGTCAGATGTTAAATACATTATAACTTCAGTTAAAATTGAGACCATATTACATTACTTTTGCTTTATTTCTGTATCCTTTTTTCCCCCTGTATATAGTTATTGAATAAAATTGTTTATAAAACACTGTTGCCTGATAGACTTGGGAGGGATGACCAAGACACCTAGTTATTCTTTTTGGCTGGGTCTGAGAACATGACTGGAATTTTCTTAGTCTAAATATTGAACATTGATTTTTTTCTCTCTCTCTTCTTTTAGTTTCCAGTAAATTCTCTTCTTCTTTTAGTTTCCAGTAAATTTAAGTTTAATACATAATCTCTGACACTGGACTTCTACACGGTTTCCATAGTCTGTAACCGTGCTTCAGATAGATGGACTGTCACTAGCTGGAGGTTTGAAATTTTTTAATGAAAAAAAAAAGTATAAATGTATTTCATACATCTTGGTTGTTTATTTTTTTTTTGTGTGTGTGTGTGTGTGTTTTTTTTTTTTTTGAGAAGGAAGGTAAAAATTCTAGTAGTGGATAGTAAATCCAGGTTATATGCAAAAGGTGTAAGAAAGGCAATCATCACAAAGAATACATCTTTTAAATGTTATATTAATGAAGCAATCAGCATGGCCAAATTGTATAAATGCTTAACATCAGAAATAGAATTATCTATTGACAATTATCTAATGACATTATCAAATATCATCTTTGAGAATTCAGGAAGTAGGCTGGGTAATTCATAGAACTTGTTTTTATAAGTCTCTTAAGTAAGTACTATATATGAGATCAGAGGAATACTTCAATAAATCCTTTAGCACCTTGAGGAAAATTGCAGGCAGCAAGAGTTCATAAGCAAGAAATCATGTTAAATTAACTTGCTCTCAAAGAAAATTCAACAGTTTTCTACAGAAGGTAGGGTTAATGCAGTGAGCATAATAGGCACTGTTTAATTCCTCTGACTTCAGTAAAGATATAACCTGTTAAATCAAGGGTGAATTTGAAATATTTTTCAAGAAATCACCAGAAGTGTAGTATATATAACAATGAGTAGAATGAGAGCTTACAAGAAATAAAAAAGGCCATTATCTTTCATTATGATTAATCTCTGATCAGATTTCTTTTACTTGTCACAGTATTGTTACTAATGATCTACATATCCCAGTGCTGTCCAAATCTCATTGAACAACTTCATGAACATACCAGCAGAAGGAAACAAAAACAGAGCTCAGTAAATTATGTAAGGTAAAGTATCTTTCTTTTTGAGAAACATAACATTAAATATCATCATCCAGATGTTGTGCATAATATTTTTTATTTATTTCTGTCACCCTGGAGTAAAAAGATTCTAACAGAAGCAGATTCTACAGAAATCTGTAATACTGGATTTCAGCAGGTAAAGATGTGAAATGGCACTTATGCCCCAGGTTATTTCTGACTTAATTTCTTGCCTGATTGAAGAAAGGAGAAATTTATAATATGGTCATTGATTGAAGAACTTCAGGCATGAAGTTCTGGGAAAAAAACATCATTAAAAGAGTTAAACACGCATTGTCTTCACCAAATAAAGGTTAGAAGGGGTTATAATGACAGGTCTATGAATATTTGAGGGAGCAATGTCAAACAGGGTCATAAAAAAGAGAAGGAGAAGGCTTCTTGAAAATTACCTATTAAATCAATAAAATAATGAAATAATTTAATGTGATTGTAAATGCAATATGGAGATGTATTCTATGCTGGCAGA